AGGTAGCCTAGGCGGTGGGTGTTGGCTCCTGGCTGTGGGGAGAACTGGAGAACAGCCTAGTCTGGCCTGTAAGGGTGCTGGATCATCTGCAAGAGAGGCTCAGCCACACCTCTTACCACCATGCAGCCAGGAGCTACTGGCATCTGGGACTTTATTATTTTATAATTAAAAAGCATAGTCATCTTTAACTCCTGTTTCAAATGCATCTTTGGGACTGGGGGTGGTCTCCAAAGCGGAATAAAATAATGTAAATGAGTGTGTTTGAGATGTGGGGAAGCCCCCACTGTCCTATATGGGCTAGCGGGAGTGTAAGTCACCCTTCCCACCTGGCACAGATGGGATCAGTTCTGCAGAACTGCTGTACCCAAGAACCTTTGGGAACGGTTGCAGCGGTGTGAATTCACTTCCCCCAGCTCTTCCCAAATCGTGCTTTGACTGTTAAAAAATGGCTGAAAAGACAAGCCCAGGCATCTTGGAGCGCACAGACTTTCACTGCCCGAGTAGTGCTGTCTCCTGTGCTGTGTGCTTCAATCCAGAACACCCTTTGCCTGCGCCTCTGCGGAGGCCTCCCTAGTTTCCCAGCCAGTGTTGCCTTTTATTAGACCTACTTGCCCAGCTTAAAGCATTCTACTTTGTCCCACTGATTATTCCTAACTTGATGCCAAAACTGTATGAATCTAATGCTCCTCATATTTATCTCTTGTGTCCTCCATCCCCCTCCCTACTCCTGTAGCATGTGGAAGTGCTGACATGAAATCCCTGTGGAGATGTCCATCAAAAGAGAGGAACAGGCTCTGAGGAGAAGGGTCAGGACTGGGGTTTGAGGTTTGAGAGTACTCGGGACAGGATGAGATCAGACCACTGAAAGAAGAGTGGATGTTAAAACTGGGGGATAACATCTGCCTTTACCTCACAAGGTAAGAAGAGAAACTGAGTAGCAGTGTTTGTGCAGTAAAGGCATTCACTGCTGTGGTAGCTAAAGGAAGAGTCCTAATTATTAATGGCCAACAGTCCTTAGTGCTAATAAAGGCCAAATAGGAAGATGATGAAAAGTGTACTGTGTCACGCAATTAGAGGATAGGACATTGGATCCTGGCAGGGATAGACTTAATAATGCAAGGGGAGAAGTTAGGCCCCAGCTAGCCTATAAGATGAATTAGAAAAAGTCCCTTACCCTCCCTCAATCTGGTGGACACAACTCCCAGGCATCATTTAGTGAGCAGACAATGCCTTTGTGAAAAGAAAGAAAGACCTTTTCTCCATCTCAAGACCCAGGGGAAAGATTTTAGGTACATCCCCGCCTCCTGCTTTTCTTCGTTGGGAGCCCCCTTCCCTGGAGCCTAAAGATAATCTGATCTGCCAACCACTGTTTCCTTTTCTCCCAAAATATCTACAAGATTCTTTTAGAGAAAGACCTGTTAGCACATTGATTTATACCAGTGGTTCTCAACCTTCTGGCCCTTTAAATACAGTTCCTCATGTTGTGACCCAACCATAAAATTATTTTCGTTGCTACTTCATAACTGTAATGTTGCTACTGTTATGAATCATAATGTAAATATCTGCTATGCAGGATGGTCTTAGGCGACCCCTGTGAAAGGGTCGTTCGACCGCCAAAGGGGTCTCGACCCACAGGTTGAGAACCGCTGGTTTATACTATTAAAAATTTGTATCCCTGCCTTTTACTTGACATCAGAGAGCCCCTTCCACACTAATTCATTGTGTTTATTTTAAAAAAGAGCTTTACAGAGGCACAATTTACCATAACATTTACCCATTTAAAGTATACAATTTAATGATTTTTAGTATATTCACAGAGTTATACAGCCATCACCACAATCAGTCTTAGAACATTTCACCAACCCACAAAGAAACTAGATACTTTTTCCTATTACCCTCCATGCCTCCCCCTGCACCACCAGCCCTAGGCAACCACTATCCTGACACTTCATAAAAATGTATGGCCTTTTGTGACTAGCTTCTTCCGTTCAGCATAATGTTTTCAAGATGCATCCATATAGTACCATGTATCACTACTTCATTCTTTTTCTCACTTAAAATTCACATAACATAAAATGAACCATTTAAAAGTATACAGCCTGGCCCTAGGCAGTTTAGCTCAGTTGACAGAGTGTCAGCCTGTGGACTGAAGGGTCCCAGGTTTGATTCAGTCAAGGGCATAGGCCCAAGTTGGGGGCTCAATCCCCAGTAGAGAACATGCAGGAGGCAGCCAATCAATGATTCTTATCATTGATGTTTCTATCTCTCCCTCTTCCTCTCTGAAATCAATAAAAATATATTGAAAAAAATAAAAATGTACAATTCAGACCTTCCCTTAGGGAAAGGCAGGGGGTCTTATTGTAGTATGCAATTAGACAGACAATGAGCAGAACAAGGACAATGGGCCAGGTACAGAAAGTCACCTAGATGGAGAGCCCCAGGTGCCTAACAAAGGACCTCCCCTAAAATCATCCTTAAAACCCTTAGGATGGAGGACTCCCCATGCTTTCCCACCCACTTCCTGCCCAGGCAGGTTACCTGGCTTCCTTTCTCCCAAGCTCCAAGGGCCCTTTACCTCTATAACTCATTTCCTAAGCCCATTTCTTCTAGGAATTACTTTTTCTACCTCTGTAATTTGCCCAATAAATGTTCTCTTGAAAACAAACGAAAGTGTACAATTCATTGGCCCTTAGTACATTTACAATGTCTTACCACCACTACTATTTCCAGAATATTTCCATCACCCCCAAAAGAAATCACTTATCCATTAGCAGTCACTTCCAATCCCCTTTGCCCCCAGCCTGTGACAACCACTAATGTGTTTTCTGTTCCTGTGGATTTGCCTATTCTGGATACTTCATATAAATGGATTCATATAATATGTGGTCTTTTCCGTCTGGTTTCTTTCACTCAGCCTAATGTTTTCAAGGTTCATCTATGTTGCAGTGTGAATCAGTACTTTGTTTTTTATGATCAATTCCATTGTATGGATATAGCACATTTTGTTTATTCATCTACTGATGGACATTTGGGTTGTTTGCGCCTTTTACTTTTATTATTTGTATTATATATATGTATATAATATATATATATTATTGATTTCAGAGAGGGAGAAACATAAATGATGACAGAATTATTGATAGACTGCCTCCCACATGCCCCACACTGGGGACTGAGCCCACAACCCGGGCATGTAACCTGACCGGGAATCGACCTCCTGGTTCATAGGTCTACACGTAACCACTGAGCCACGCAGGCTGAGCAGATCCTTTGTTTTTTAATTGGCTTTTCTTTTTATCATTGAGTTATAAACATTGTTTATATTTTCTAGATACAAGTCCTGAAAATATTCTATCCATTCTGTGGGTCATCTTTTCATTTTCTTTTTTTAAAAACATATTTTATTGTTTTTTTACAGAGAGGAAGGGAGAGGGATAGAGAGTTAGAAACATCGATCAGCTGCCTCCTGCACACCCCCTACTGGGGATGTGCCCGCAACCACGGTACATGCCCTTGACTGGAATTGAACCCGGGATGCTTCAGTCCGCAGGCCAACACTCTATCCACTGAGCCAAACCGGTCAGGGCTCTTTTCATTTTCTTGACAGTGTCCTTTGAAGCACAAAATTTTAAAGTTTTGTTTGTTCATTTGTCTGAAGGAGACTGGCAGCCTTACTATTAGTTATACTGCTAATTAACCTATTTATATAGCACATAAAAATAAAATTTTACAGTTTTGATGTTCATTTTATTCTATTTTTTCTTTTGCCATGTTGTTCTCTTCATATCATATATAAAAAACTATTATCAAGTGCTACAATTTAGTTTTAGAAAATTTTCATCACTTCCACAAATTCCCTGTCTTTGTTTACAATCAATCCCCTCCTACTCTTTTTGTCTTTATAATTTATCTTTTCTGGACATTTCATATTAATGGAATGCAATATGTGGTCTTTTGGTTTGGTTTCTTTGACTTAGAATAAGGTTGTGAGATTCATCCATATTGGTACATTATCACTTTTTGCCTCTAGTTATTGCTGAGTCATATATTCCATTGCATGGCTATGATCTGATGGACATTTGGATTATTTCCAGTTTTTAAAAGCATTGTGAATATATTTTTAAAAACTGCTGTGAGTGTCCTGGCCGAGGACTGAAAGGTCGGGTTGCAGCATGTGCCTTGCTTGCAGGTTCCATCCTGTGCGGGAGGCAATAATAGATGTGCCTCTCTCACATCGATGTTTCTCTCTGTGTCTCTTCCTCCCTTCCACTCTCTAAAAATCAGTGGAAAAAAATATATATCTCCAGTGAGGATTAACAACAACAACAAAATAAACTGCTATGAGCATTTGCATACAAGTCTGTTTTCATTTCTCTTGGGAGGATTTTGTTAATATAAAAACATTCAAACCTATAAGGAATTTTTGTGAGTTTATTGAGCCAAACTGTCCACAGTTGCTAGGAAGCAGAATCTCAATGGATTGGGATAATGCTCTGGAGAATGGTATTTTTTCACCTTGTTTCATACATTACATCAAAGGAGGAGACATAAGTGGGTTACATGAAATCCATTGGTGATAGATTAGGGAGGCAGAAGAAAGCAAAAGGGGGGGGGGACCTCTGGGATTGTATAAAAAGTAAAATGATAGACACATTACTTAGGTGGGATAGTTAGCAGTCAACAACATGATAACAATAACAATGAAGGAATTTGTGGTATCTGTCTTGGAGTCCAGGGTATTTGGTTGTGCCCTGAGGGGTCCAAACAAAGTTACAAGTTACCCTGACATTTCAATAATATGTTATCGTAGATGCAAAAAGACAATAAGCTCAGTTAAGGTAAAGGTTGACCTCATCAGGGAAGATACAGGCCTAGGAGGTGACTACTCACCATAACTGCTTTTAGTTAAAGTTTAATTTCAGACCATCCTTTGTGGTTACTTTAGGTCTTTGAGTTTGCAAGACTGCCATGCAGACCTTTAAGTTTGTCAGGTTAGCATGTGGCCCCTTTCGTCCACATTTTCTTGGAGTGGAATTGCTAGGTCATATAAGTTTATGATTAACTTTTAAAGAAACTGACAAACTTTTCCAAAGTAACTGTACTATTTTAAATTCCCATCTTTAATGTATGAGGATTCCAGTTTCTCCACATCTTCGCCAACATTTGGTATTATCTGTATTTTTTATTATAACTATTCTTTGTGTGTATGTGCATAATGGTATCTCATGGTTTTAATTTGTATTTCCCTAATGGTTAATGATGTTGAGCATCTTTTTGTGTGCTTCTTAGCTATTCGTGTATCTTTTCTGGTAAGATATGTTTTTTTTTTTTTTTTTCTGCCTGCTTTAAAATGCTTCAAGTAAGTCTTTTTATTATTGAGCTTTGAGAGTTACATGTTGTGGATACAAGTCCATTATGAAATATATGGTTTGCAAACTATTTTTTACCACGTTGTGGTTGTATTTTCTTTCTTTTTAAAAACGTATTTTGATTGATTTCGGAGAGGGAGAGAGAGAGAAACATCAATGATGTGAGAGAATCATTGATCAGCTGCCTCCTGCACACCCCACACTGGGGATGGAGCCCACAACCCAGGCATGTGTCCTTGACCAGAATGGGATCATGACCTTCTGGTTTATAGATAGAAGCTCAACCACTGAGCCACGTGGGCCGGGCTGTGGTTGAATTTTCTTGACGGTGTCTTTGTAGCATAAGCGTTTTTCATTTTAATGAAGTCCAACCTACCCGTTTTGAGTTGATTTTATGTGAGCTAATGGTCGCAGTTGTTTTTTGTTTGTTGCACCCTGATATCCAAGTCTCCTGGCTCCATTTGCTGAAAGGATTGGGCAGGTACTATACCTGTGAGCAGCAGTGCAGGCTGCACAAACAGGGCCAGGGCGCGCTGCCAGCAGGCAGACTGCAGGCGGTCGAGCCGACTGTGGTGAGAGTGTTGATGCTCCGTGGTGAACAGAAAAAGGATGGCCCGATTTCCCAGGGCCTTGATCTCCTGTCGGTTCCTTTTGGAGACACTTGCTTCCGGGCCGAACTTTTCTAGCTTCTCTCGGCGGTACTACAATTCCCAGAATGCATCGCACGGCCTGCCCTCCGCGGAGGGCGGGGGAACCATAGACCTGGAAGTGTGGCTGCGAGGGAGGCGGCTCTGTTTTCAATATCGATTTCTTAAGGCCTGGGCGCGGGAGTCCAGCTGGTGGAACGGCGAGCGGTAGAACTCCGCTCTGAGACACGCCTCTGGCTCCCGGCCCGCCTCTGCCTTCCTCACTGGCGTGTCCGGATCGTTTGTTTTTCGAGTTTCCCGCGGGGGAGTGTGCCTCGGAGACAACCAACAGCAGCTGAGAGTCTTGCGGGCCCGGCCAACTGGAGGCGAGGGTGAGAGCCGGCGGGGCCGCGAGGAGCGTGCACGGCCCGCCCCCTCGGGTGGGGGCTTCGGTGGGGACAGGCTTACCCTTTCGCAGCCCTTTCCAGGTCTCCGGGCTCAGCCATGTCCCATCAGACCCCTCTGGGCTCCTCAGTGCCACAAGCCAGCTGCCTGGACCTGTGGAGGGAAAAGAATGACCAGCTAGTTCGACAGGCCAAGGTAACGTGGTTGCTTGGATCTCGCTTTGCAGCCCCAAAATACCAGAAAGAGGGTTTGCTGTGGACTTAGAGGGGGTGAGCTTGACTTCCACCTTATGCCAGAGATGACTGGAGAATGACCTCCCTTGCCACTGCTGCCAGGGTAGAGGAAATGGCTTATTCTCCGTGACGCTACACCCCATGTTTGGCAGGTGGCTCAGGACTTGGGTCTGTCTCCGAGGCGACAGCAGTTGGCTCAAGATGCGCTGGAAGGGCTCAGAGGACTCCTCCATAGTCTGCAGGGTAAGCAGGGTCCTCTCCAGGATGGTCAGTTCAAAACCCGCCCTCCCCGCCCCCCCCCCCACTCCCGTCCCCGCAACACACACACTCCTGCCCCTCCACAGCCAGAGACCTCTTCACCATTTCTGGGATTGAGGCGATTATTCAGATACGGAGCGGGGTGGGAGGGGAGGGGGCCTGTTTAAGGCACACACAGGGAGTGGATGTCTTTGTACAAGTGAGTCTCCTGACCACACACACACACACACACACACAGCAGCAGCAGCATTTGAAGATGCGGTTCCCAGAATGGTCTAATCTGGAGAACTTTTTGCCCTTTCCAAACTCTGTCCAAGGAGTCTTTTCTTTTTTAAAGGGTGCATTCTTTATTGAGGCCATTTGGTTGAGGTGGGGTGTTTAGAGACTCTTTTATGGGGGAGCAGCCTGTGAGACCAGCATTTGTTGCTCTAGGACTCCCTGCAGCTGTTCTTGTTCTCCCCTTGGAATTGACGGTCATCTGCAACTTCATTACCCTGAGGGCAAGCCTGGCCCAGGGTTTCACTGAGGACCAGGCACAGGATATCCAAAGGGGCCTAGAGAGAGGTGAGGGCCAGAGAATGTCTCCCATGCCCCTGCCAGCCTCAGTCTGGGTTTAAGTCCTTGCAAGGGGGATGGGAGGAGCAACATAATCTGCCACCTCCATGACGAGAGATGCCCTTCTCTGATCTTCCATGTGCTCCTCAGACCAGGAACACCAGAGATGAGGTCCTATCTCAGCTGTGTGTGTGTGTGTTTGTGTGTGTGTGTACTCTGTAGTGCTGGAGACCCAGAAACAGGTGGGGCCCAGGCTAGAATGTGGGCTCAGGGGCCTGTGGAACTCCATCCTCCATGCTTCCTCCCTTCTGCCGGAGCTGCTCCCTGCCCTTCACCACCTGGCTGGCCTGCAGGCTGCCCTTTGGCTGAGCACTGACCATCTTGGGGACCTGACCTTGCTGCTGCAGACCCTGAATGGCAGCCAGGTAATTTGGGAAGTGACCTGGATCTAAGGGATTTTTCCCTACAGGCCCCAGCTGTAGTAGGATCATTTTGTGCTGGAAAGGCTGCTAGGTTCTCTCAAGGAATCTTAGGTGCCCTTCCTCTGGTTGGTCGCTCATTGGAGGGATTCTCTTGGGAGCATTTTAAAAGTAGTTTATGTCCTGCAAGGTAGCTCAGTTGGTTGGAGCGGCATCCTGATGCACCAAAGTTGCGGGTTTATTCCCCGGTCAGGGCACGTGCAAGAGTCAGCCAATAAATGCATAAATGGGCGGAAAAACAAATCGATGTTTCTCTCTCTCTCTCTCTCTCTCTCTCTCTCTCTCTCTCCCTCTCCCTCTCCCTCTCCCTCTCCCTCTCCCTCTCCCTCTCTTTCTAAAAAATCAATAAAAAAATACACTTAATAATCTTGGATGGTGGTAGGGTTCTCATGTCCTTGCAGAAGTCACTTCCCAGTCTATCTTTTCATCAATAATTCAAACATGGTCCTTGCCCCGTGTCCTCACGGGCTTATCCTGAGTGAGGAGATACTCCAGAATAGATGATCATTGGTTTTTCTTCCTCCCTTTATCCTTTCCCCACAGCTATCTCTTAGAATCGGGGGAACAGGAATCAGAAGGACCCTTGAACTCAAGGGCCAGCCAGGGTAGACTGAAACAGAAAAAGAAATAGTTACCGACTTGGATCCTCTTTGGCTCTTCTCTCCCAGAATGGGTCCTCTGAGGATCTGCTGCTCCATCTAAAAACTTGGAGCCCCCCAGCTAAGGAATCAGATGACCCATTGACCCTGCAGGATGCCCAAGGCTTGAGGGATGTCCTTCTGACAGCATTTGCCTATCGCCAAGGTCAGCAGTCTCACTCATTCCTTCCTCCCCATTCCCCATCTTAAGGGGTTTCTAGCCTCATGACTTTCCTGTCATGTTCTATATATAAGTCTGTTTAATTCGTGTCTTATGGGCCTCTCTAAGCTCACACCCTGATTGCTCTCAGGCCTCCAGGAGCTGATCGTAGGAAACCTGCCCAGGGCACTGAGCAGCCTGCATGAAGCTGCCTCAGGTCTATGCCCACGGCCTGTGTTGGTCCAGGTGTACACAGCGTTGGGGACCTGTCTCCGAAAGATGGTAAAGAAAGTGCTAGGGTGGGTTGGGGAAACCATGGGTGATATGGACAGCTTTTTTCTTTGTGAGGGTGGCTGAGGCTTGCGTCTTCTCCTCTAGGGCAATCCACAGAGAGCTCTGCTCTACTTGATTGCAGCCCTGAAGGGGGGATTAATCTGTGGGCCCCCGCTTCTGGAGGCCTCTAGGCTGTATCAGCAACTGGGGAACACAGCAGCAGAGCTGGAGAGTCTGGAGCTTCTGGTTGAGGTAAGGAACTATTCCAGTTGAAGATAACGGGGCTTGCTGGGGTGCTCCTGTGAGGCAATAAGTCAAGGTATAAGTGGAAGGAAGCATGGCTCCGAAAGATTATAGATATACTTTCTTACTTTGTCTCTTTCAGGCCTTGAGTGTCACTCCTAGCTCTGAAGTCCCCCATTTTCTTATTGAGGTAGAGCTGCTACTCCCACAACCTGACCCAGCCTCACCCCTTCACTGTGGCACACTGAGCCAGGTCAAACACCTGCTAGCAAGCCGATGTCTACAGACGGGAAGGTGAGGTCCTGCCTTGCTCACACGAGCTCCTCTTCCCACTTCTGATACCTCTGTTTCTGTTCTTGTGAGTCAGAGGGATGAATGAATTAGTGGCAGGACCTAGGTCCCCACTCCTCAACATCCTGCCTTGCCACTGGACCTGAACTCTTCTCCCAGACACTAACCTGTATATTATTAATTTTTTAAAAAATTTGTACAGGTTTATCTTTTTTTTTAAAATTCTTTATTGTTGAAAGTTTTACGTATGTCTCCTTTTCTCCCCATTGACCTCTCTCTGCCCACTCCCTTCCCCCAGCTTATGCCCCCACCCCTCTATTGTCTGTGTACTAACCTGTATTTTTAAAACTCTGAAGTGTCCTCCCAAATCCATTCTGTAAGTAGGGTATATCCATACTGAGTCAAGGTTGGAGCCACAAGACCACCCATTCCCCAGGATCCTTGAGCATCCCTCCCTTAGCTAGGAGTCTTTGGAGGTCCCTGCAGGGATCTAATGTAAGGCTCATGGGTTATGACTCCTCAGGACAGAGGATGCAGTAGAGCATTATTTGGACCTACTGGCCCTGTTGTTGGATGGCTGGGAGCCAAAGGTGAGTATATCTTCAAGGTTCTCTACAGTTGGGGTGGGGAAAGAGTTGGAGTCTCCTTTGGAAGAGAGCAGGATTTCTGTTTTGTGTGTTTTCCTCTGCTGTTCTGTCTGTCCAGTCTAGGGGGTAGAGGGGGCAGACCAGGAAGGCTTCCCAGAACAGGGGATCCAGGGCAGCAAGCAATGGGTGGCTTCCATGTGGTACCAGAGGTTGGGGGTGGTGGCTCACTGGATCTTTCTCCCACCCCAGTTTTCTCCACCCCCCAGCCCCCGAGGGCCGTGTATGCCTGAGATATTCTTGGAGGCAGCAGCAGCACTGATCCAGGCAGGCCAAGCTCAGGATGCTTTAACCATATGTGAGGAGCTGCTGAGCCGTACATCATCTCTGCTTCCAAAAATGCCCTGGCTGTGGAAAGATGCCAGAAAAGGAACCAAGGAGTCACCACACTGCCCACCCTGGGTCTCTGCCACCTACCTGCTTCAGGGACAAGCCTGGGTGCAACTAGGGGACCCAAAACAAGCAATTAGTGAATTTAGCCGGTGAGCCCAGGAAGCCAACCAGGGGCCCTAGGGGAAGTGTGGAGGGATAATTTTCTGATTGGGACCTGAACTGGTGAGCTCCATTCTTACCTCTTCACCCCAGAGCTTCTGAGCTTGACTCCTCTTTACCCCTGTTCTGTGTTCCACTTCAGGTGCCTTGAGCTGCTCTTCCGGTACATACCTAAGGATAAAGAACAAGGTGATCTAGACTCAGCTTTCCTCTTCCCTCCTGGAAGTGGTGGTAGTGGATATCAGTTCCCTTTACACGTGTCCCAGCCCAACAGGAGATTTAAGAGAAAGAGACTCCGGACACAAGAAGAGATAGAGGGGGACTTGGGTTTTAGTTAGTAACTTTGTGGCTGGTAACTCATTTCTTGACTTTGGGGATCCCCAGGGCCTGCTTCCAACTGTGAACAGGGGTGTATGTCAGATGTGGCACTACAACAGCTTCGGGCAGCTGCCCTGATTAGTCGTGGACTAGAATGGGTGGCCAGTGGCCAGGATACCAAAGCACTACAGGACTTCCTCCTCAGTGTGCAGGTGTGCCCAGGTATGTATATTTGCATGACGTCAGCTGTGCATAGATGCACAAGGATGTAACGGCTCATGAGGGAGGTACTGAGTGATGTTCCTAGATCGGAGGGGTGAATGGGATTGTGCTGTATATAACTAGGGACATACACAGACGTACACAAGACATATACAAGTGTGGATGAAGGCCTCTAAGAGCTCCCAGTCTTCCCAATGTCCTCAGGCACAAAGACAATGCTGGTGTTGGGCAGGAGCAGAATTAGTCGAGCCCTTTATCCTGGGCAGGCAGTGCTTAGGGGTAGGAATGATAGGGAATAATCTCCTGGTTTAGTATGTGACTGTAGGCAGGACAGTTCCCTGCTTTATGCCTCAGTTTCCCCTTTTATAAAATGATGCCTAAGACTGGGTCACGTTCTAAGATTCTGTATTCTGGGGTGGGACTACAGGTAATGGAGACGCTTCATTTCACCTGCTTCAGACTCTAAGGAGGCTGGATCGGAGGGATGAGGCCACTGCTCTTTGGCGGAGGCTGGAGGCCCAAACTAAGTTGCCACAGGAGAATGCTACATGGTGAGTTGAGGCCTGCTGGCTTGGGTCTAGGAGCAGTTGGTGTCCTGGAATCCTTGGGCCTATTGGGGTGGGTGGTGGTGAATGAAAGGGAGGGAGGGGCTGCCCAACCTTCTGCCTATCCCTTACCCTTAGGCCTCACCCTTCTTGCTCTCCAGGTCTCTCCCCCTGTACCTTGAAACCTGTTTGAGCTGGATTCGTCCTCCTGACCGTGAAACCCTTCTTGAAGATTTTCGGACATCTCTGCTGGAGCCTTGTGACTAGTAGCTGCCAAGATTAAAAGAATCTGAGCTGGGGCCCCAGTGGGCCATCTTTCTGTGGGGAGGGCTTTCTGCTTTACCATCCTTGGGGAATGTGTTTGGAGATGACCATTCCTATACAAGTCCAGCTTTTGAAAGGTTGGTGATATGCCTGAAAAAATTTTTGGCCTAGTTATTGCCACCTGGTTCCAGAGACACCTCTCCCCCCAACAAGGCATTGACTTTGCTCATAGCACCTTTCCCCCTGTTTCCCCTTTTCTTGTGTTGAGTAAAATCTCATATGTATCTCTTGTCTGCCTACTACATATACTACATACACAGCTGTCTGGTTCATTTGAGTGCTGGTTGTCTAAGGTGCCATCTCCTAACATCATCTACCTTATGACTTGAGGACTGGGGTAGAAGAAAGGGCTAGAGGAATCCTTACTCAGAAAGCAGACTTTAGCCCTTTCTATTGCCTAAAAGCAAAGCCCCAAGCCACAACATCCTGTGTGAGTTGACAGAATGAGTGGAGGTGGTCTGGAAGGTGGTCTAGGCAGGCCTTCCATGACAAGGGCAGGTATTTGATTCTTAGAGGGGAGAGACGAGCAAACCTGAGTCTCTCAGAGTGACTTCCCACCCCTTCCTTAATCCCAAATTCTAGGAATTTGAGAGTAGACTGCCTCAGTCAAATGTGACTGAAGGATGAATCAAGTTAACGAGCTACCAAAACTGCCTGTTGAATATAGTCAGGGCTAGCTGGTATTTTGGGCCCAAAGACTTCAACTCAGCATGCAACTTTCTTGTTGCTTTGGGCTCTCTTGAATCTGCTGTGTTCTTTGGTAGCCTTTTGACCTCTCTCTGGACTGGGTGCCCTCCATCCTCAAATCATTAATATTAATACCCAGTGGTAAGAGGAAGAGTGTACCTCCAAGCCCCAAAGAACTGTAAAGCCTCGGGGCTAGCGTTAACCAGAGGGTGCAATGACTAAAATAGAGTGGTTTGAGAGCTGCAGTGCTAGTTAAAAAGGGTCCAGAGTAGGGGTGGCCTGAGTTAGCATTTTGAAGGAGCAAGGAGAGGGGTTAGGGTGAATCCTCATTTTGGAAGAAGACAGATGTGTAGGTTAATACTACAATAATACCAGACTAATACAAGGGTTCAATCCATTGTGCCAGGTTTTTCCAGCAGGATAAACTCAGGAGCCAATGAGCTGGAGCCAAGTGGGAGAGCCCGCCTCTAAGAGATTGAACACTCCTTCCGCCAGTCGAGCTGGTCCCATTCCTTTTGTTGATTGGTTGAGAATACCAATCCGTCGAGGAAGCGTAGCGTTGCAGCCAATTGACGTGGCGATGCATACTTGAGGCGGGAGCCAGGACAAAGCGAATTTTCTGATTGGCTCTGGTCCGTGGGTTGCTGGGGAGAGGCGCCGAGAGGCGGGCGGGAGTCCCTAGGGCAGGCGCTGATTGGCTGAGGTGAGCGTACCTCTTCTTCCGATGATTCGGCTCTTCTCGGCTCAGTCTCAGTGAAGCGTCTGTAGCCGTCGTTCGAGTCGTCGCTGCTGCTGCCTCCTCGCGGATCAGGAGCCAACGTCTCCTGCCCGCCCACCGCACGGGTACCGCTGGGAGGAAGCGACAGGGAGGCTGCCTGCGGGTTTGTCGTCGCTGCTCGCCACCCCGCCCGGGAGAGCCGAGCCCGGGTCCAGACGGTCTCCCGCCACCCCTCGTAGCCGTTACCCTTGGGCTGCCACAGCCGCCGGCCGGGAGAGGCACGCGCCATGGCCTCCGGAGCGGAGTGAGTGTGTGTGCGCGTGCCCGCCCGCTCGCCGCGGGGGCGCGCACCGGGGGTCCCTTCAGCGCTGGGTAGGCCCGGCTGGGCCTGGCCGTGGGCGCGTCTAAGCGGAGGAGACCGGGAAAGAGGGAGGCATGGAAGGAAGGAGACGAGAGGACGGGAGCGAAGGAGGGGCCGGCTGGGCCACGCTACGCACCCGTGCGCCCCCTAGGCGGGGTTTGCGTTGGGCCCGGGTCGGGGCCTGGGCCAGATCGTGCTGTGTCATGCAGGCCCGGCCGACCTGATTGTCTCCCTTGGAACGGCCATGCGGGGCCCAGTGAGGTCTGCGGGCCCACACTGCCAGCGCGGAGCCCTGGGGCCGGGAGCGCCCCCGACCCCCCTGCGACTCGGCCTACCACCCGCGGAAGGCCTTTGGTGCCGGGAGAGAGCAGGCCCCAACGCCCTCACTGGGCCCGGTGGGCGTGGACTTTGGGCCCCGGGAAGGCCTTCGGAGCCGGACCCGGACCCGGAGGCGGAGGCCGTAGCGGGGGGGCCCGGCGAGCTCAGGGAAGCTCTCGGCTCCCAAGTGCCGAGTCCGCCCGGGCCGCGGTTGGCATCCTGCGCCCCCGGAGTAGCGAGGGGGAGAGTGGGCCCTGCGTTTCGCCTCTGGCCTTGCTCACCGGAGAAAGCTTGAGTCAGTTTCCCTTGATGGCATGAAATAGGCGCGGGGAGAAAGGCACTTTTTTTCTTTCTTTACTATATATTGCAAAACGTTCGAATATGAGTTCGTATTTTCTAGGCCTTCCTAGATTTCAGCCTTCGTGGTGTGTGTGTAGGTTAGAGTTGCTCTAACTCTCCCAAAACACACGGTTTCCGCGCCCCCAAATCTGCTGTGTTGAGAAATCCTGGGCCCTGCACCCGGAGGAAAGCATCAGATAAAACCTGGCCCCTCTGTCCACTGAATTTAGAATCAAGAGCTTTACTTACTGGGGGGAAGGCAGGAGACACCGCCATCCTATGGAAACTCCTCTATGCAAATCACCTTCCTGATTCAAAAAGAATTTGTTTTTGGTGTGTTCCTTTATTTTCGAGTTTCTGAATCTAGATGAAGTATTACTCAGTCATCTATTTAAAAGGTCCACTTAGTAATACTTAAAATTTACGTTATCCAGTCGTTTGTTTTCAAAACTAAAAATCCAAAATTATTGGAACCTGCCAGCAGAGATGGTTTCCAATCCCTAGGTCATCGTCTCGATGACTCGAACCTGAACTCCCTCCAAGTTGTGGTCCTTTGGGATTCTGGAAAGGGCCTGACTCATGCAGCAGACAATAGGTGGTGTCTCCACAGAGCCTCCAGGACTGCTGTTGGGTGATGTTCAGGCTGAATTCTCTCTTTTAGACCTTCCTTCCTTTTATCTCAGTAGATAGATGTGGGATTAAAGATCTTTATCTTAAGATGGGTGGGGAACCATTTTTCTGTCAACAGCTATTTGGATGTATAATACCATTTCTGGGCCATACAAAATTACCACCTGAAAGATTAGCCTGCTATATTTGGTCAAACATTTAATTAACTCACCCCTAATGCCTTGGCCGTGCCCGACCAAATGATTTCTTGGGCCTTATGGCCCTCAGGCCGGATGTTCCCCTTCCCTGTTAAGGGAAGAGTATACCACTCATCTCCAATGCCAGGGTCCGGAATGGTAGGCAGATTGGAGGTATTTTTAGAATGTAGCCTTGGGTTAAAACACAAACCGATGATTAGAGGCAACAGTATTTTTTTTTCAGTACCAGTTCTATAGGTTAAGCAGGAAGATGGGCAGCCCTTGGAGGGTATTTTGAAGTGTGAGGGAGAATTGATGAGTCTAAATTGCCCTCAGATGTCACATTGACCATGGTTGCCCTCCAGGGTAAGGATTGGGAAAATTTGTCTACTCTGCAGCTTATGCCCAAAGTGCCACACTTTTGGGTTTGGGGAGGCAAGTTTAAGCCTAGGAAACTCCACTCTTGGAAACTAGTTTAAAGGTGATGATTAAAGATGCAACCTGTGTAAGAGGATCAGCAGAAAATTCGCAGTTATATTAGAGAATGGGATTTGTATTTCTCTTGGGTATATCTGGACCCAAATATGTAAAAACCCCATAACTCCACAGCAGGTATTCTGGAGCATAGGGATCTCTTTTCTTGCAAGTTGTGAAGACATTTCTAATAGGAATACTATTTTGTCTTGTTTTGTTGACTGATAAGTCCCTGGATCCCAGAACAGTGCCTGGCATATAATACATATACTCCTTAATTTGTTGAATGGAGAAATAATCCATGGAAAACATTCTTTTTTTATGTATTTCTTCACTTCCTCCATTATCTGGTCTCCCTATTAGTAAGGCACATGTTTTCTTGAGCCTTACTAAGAGGAGGTAGTTCTTCAAAGGGGGAGAGCCCACCTAATTGAGTTAGTGAAGGCTGGAGATAAGCTAGTTAAAAAATTGGTGCCCAGGAAATAATTGAAACTGGACAGTATTATTTTTTGTTTATCCTCACCCGAGGGTATTTTTCCATTGATTTTTTTTTTTTTTTTTTTAGAGAGGGGGGAAGTTGGGGGAGAGAGAGAAACAGAAACATTGATGTGAAAGTGAAAGAGACACATGGCTTGTTTGCCTCCTGCATGTGCCCAAACTGGGGTGGGGATTGAACCTGCAACCCAGGTACCTGCCCTTGACTGGGAATGGAACCTACCTTTTGGTGCACAGGTCAACCACACTCTAACCACTGAGCATCACTGACCAGCGCGAAACTGGATAGTTTAAAGTGGTTTAGACTCAAGCAACCTTGATTTAGGAGAAAAGGATTTGGATTTGTTCCATGTCTCAGCATTTCTTGGTTTTGACTTTTTTTTTTTTTTAAATCTTCACCTGAGGACATGCTTAGTGAGAGGGAGGGAGAAACATCAGTGTGAGAGAAGCTTCGATCAGTTGCCTCCGGTAGGTGCCCTGTCTGGGAATCGGAACAGGCAATCTTTTGGTGCACAGGATGACATTCAACCAACTGAGCCACTCTAGCTGGGTGGTTTTGACATTTGAACCAACTCTGTGGAGTTGTGTGTCTACAGAGATTACCATTTGAGCTTAGCCCTCTTTCTGAAGGTTCCAGATCTGTTCCTGTTTGTGTGTGTGTGTGTGTGTTTTTTTTTTTTTAACTATGATGGTATTTAAGTTTGACATTTCTGTGGTATATAGAAAGCTCTGGCACTCAGCAGATTTAGCCAGTAAAGGAGGGTAGTGCTAATTTTGCTTCA